GGAATAAGAAAAGCACAGCCCTCCATCCAGGCAGCTCCAGCCCTACATACAGCTAGTTCCCTTGAGATCCTCCTTCCTCTCCTCACCCCCACTCTCCGAAATGGAGAACAGGTTCCCAGTAGATCCCAGACAGCTCTGCAGAAGACAGCGACGGTACGAAGAACCCTTATCACCTTCCTTCCAGGAGTCGCACACACAGACATGCCCACATGTCATCTTTCCAACCATTTTCCAGGCTCTTTCCAGGACCTAACTGCCCCCAGCAGTTTGTCCCTCACAGCGAAGCAGAAGCCTCTGAACCAGGAGCCAAGTGGAGAGGAGGCAATGATCTAGAAGCGAGTCATAGACAGAGGAAACTGTCCCCCACACGCTAATAGTCTTTGATGAAGTATTGTGCACATGTGCGGATGAGGCTGCTGCTTTATTGTGCTTAGAGAAAGTTTCCATCTGCTCCAGTGCAAACCCCAGCACACATTCATCCGAGAGCTCTGGTGTCAAACGAGGGTTCGGTTCTGGACACGGCATGCAAACCAGGACTCCAAAGGACTGGGTCATTTGTCTCCTCCCTACCTGGTGACAAGTATTACATCAGAATCTACACCCCACGGTGGCTTCCCTTGTCCCCTTTCTCACCCCCAGATTGCTCTACAGTACAAAGAGGCAATTTTTTTTTTTTTTTTAATATGCTGCCATTAGGGCGAATGGGACATTACAGTCAATAGAGATAACGCTCCTGATCCAAGAAAATTACAGCTGAAATTAAGGCAAATCCATCAAAAGATGACACAAAAGAGAGAGGTAATAACACAGCACAAAACCAGCCACTCTAATAAGTGTTTTTCCACCGCATAAAATACACAATCATTATATTGATCCTTCTGCTTTAATTCCAATGAGTGAGAACAGGCACTAATTACTTTCCTAAATTGGGGCCAAAACAGTGCACTTGTCATTTGGACAAGCAAGATGCTCTCAGAGCTTCAAACGTGCCATAAACCCCCAGAACAAACCCCATCCGCACAGCACAAGCAAGCCCATCTTCTTTATGGGAGCAAAGCTATCTCTCTTCACAACGGGAAGGGCTGCGTAATAAACCTGTCACATCCTGTAACATGCTGGAAAGGATTGCGCGCTCGGTGGCGTGGTAAATCGTAGAGTTCACGTTGCCTAGCTTTAAAATAAAAATGAAAACAAGGATAAAAGATATTTCCCTCCATTGTTTCAATTTTATGTACAAACTGTATGGCAGGAATAAGTGCACGTTTGGCACCGAGGGCGAGTTCTCTGTTCCTGCAGCTTGGTCCCAGTCTGATCCTTATTTTAATGTAAATAAACGAGGCATCAGCTTTATCTCTCTCTCTCTCTCAACAGTAACAATAAACCAGAGAATCACCACTTCATTTCCAACCTCTAGTGCAGAGCTGGGAGATTGAGCAAGGACAAGCCTGTGGGTCTGCTGGCCTCCCAGCACCACCAAGGACGGATTAAAAAAAAATAAAATAAAAAGAGGACAACAGAGGACATGTTGCCCTACCAAAAAGAAATGGCAAGGGCTGGAGGTGCTCCTTCTCTTGGAAGGGTAGAGCTGGGAAGTGCACCAGGAGGGCAGCTGGATGTCTGCACAACAGGTCATGGAAAGCACCTCTGAATGCCAGAGTGCTTTCCAGCGCCGTCTTGAAACCCATGTTCTCTTGATCCGTTTACTGAAATTAGATTACGAACCTTAAGGGGGTTTACCCAGAGGTTTGATATAGGACTAATATTTTTTTTAATAGTAATTAACATTTGATTACAGTGTTCCAGGGAACATTTCCCAAGTACCTTGAAATCAGAAGAGTACAACTGGCTTTAATTGGGGCCATGTTACAGTCATGCAGACGTGATGACTTGCATCAGAGCAAAATCTGACAGGACAGCATGTGATCAAAGGTAAGGCATATAGGATCACCGACGGCCCCGTAGTAACAGCCAGGCTATAAAATCACCCCTGGGGCTCGGCGGCCACCAAGGGTAGCAAGAATAGTTCAAGAGGCTTATAAACAACAACAGGCACAGGGCTCAGCAGCAGCCAGACGTCCTCTCCCAGGGAGTCACGGTGTCTGTGACACCCCAGGCTTGCGTGTTGCTCTCTTTTTTCTAAATGTTAAAAGGTAAAAAAAAAAAAAAATTCTAATGGTTACAGACGTAAACATTTCTTTTCTGTGACGCTGATGGGGGAGCATTAGAGCATGCTGGAGGGTTCCTGGAATACCCTTGGGCTGATGTCAGATGCGGTGGCAGCGTGCACCGATGGGAACGTGCTGCAGTCGGGGCGCTGGGCAGCACACGGCACCGGGGATTCCTCCAGAGCAGCCGCAGCTGCAAGCCCATGGAACTGCTCTGAGATGCAGACACATCGCAGCTTGAGCTCCCGTGTGTGCACCTAGGGCAGAGCTACACTGCTGCCATCTTCCCCTTCATGGTGACACTGATGGCATCTATCCAGCCACCCATTTCTACAAACATTCGAGTCCTCTCCGCTCCCCAGACTCAGCTGAAACTGGACAACGTGTTCAAAGGTTACATGATAAGAACTCTCCAAAAAGACAAAGCGTAATTACATAAGGCTTGCTTCCTTTGGAAAGCTGGGCAGGCTCCCAAATGGCAGTGAATAACTTCCATGGGGACTGAACAACCTTACTCAATCTCTCCTGGAGCAGACTTGGCCACAGTCATCCTACACAGAGGGTTCCTTTCAGCAGCAGGAGAACATCCTGCACATCAAGAAGCCACTGCTCCTAGAGGAAGCCTGTACAAGGAAGATCACCTGGCTGTTCCCACCACCCAGGGCCTGGAGCTCACAGGCAGAGCTCCACAGGCTTGATGACACCCAAAGGTCCCAGTGGAGCTGGTGAGATGTCTGCAAGGCTGAGCATCACAGAGAGCTGTGCCATGGGAACCTCCAGCGCTGAGAGCACAGTCCAGCCCCACTCCACACCACGGAGCTGCTGGGCCACCCGCCATCGGGGCGCAGGAGCAGCATGGTGCTCCCCATGAAGGTGGGGCCATCCCACGCTTCTGAGGTGCTGAGGGAACGCAGCTTTCCCAAGAACAGCCTCATCTGGAAGAAGGTGTTTTTCCAACAGAGCTGCACTTGGAGATCAGACCTTCCCTCAAGTCTCACAGTGAAGCCACCCAAGGTATCTCGTCATTTCCCCTCATGGCAAATACATTTGTGAATCAAAAAAAGAAAACAGAGTAAATGCCAGAGATGAAAGGAATTCAACCCACTTGGATGGTTCTGGAAAGACCGACAAGTGAAAGAACACTCCGCAATGTCTCATTTTATTGCAAACGCCATGACAAATCTTCTCACCTTGACAGACCAGTATCGAAGGCCCTGAGCTAGAATAGCCACAAGTCCCGTATGACACAGAGGGAATCAGTGATTCAACATTTTACGACTATTTTTTTTTAAACAGTCTCATCCATCATCACATATGGGGGCAAAAAAAAAAAAGGATTTCACCTTAACCATCTCCAAAAGTGTGGAGACGTCTGGACTAATTCTCCAAACAGCCTTGGACTCCAACACTGAAGAAGGTCCCCAGAAAATAACTGTATGTAGCAGTACATGTAATATTTACCTGGAAAAGGAGAATATTTTGGAGCTATTTTGTTTTACCTGCTACCTGAAGCAGGTACAGCTAAATGGGATTTCACTGACACGGTAAAATCACTTCACACGCTGGAGGGAGCACAGCAGCACACACTCGGGGCATCGCCAGCGGGACATGGAGCCATTAGTTCCTCCCTGCTCATCCCCGGCACAGTCAGGGTGACAGGGTGGCCTTCACAGGGGACAGTGTCTCCCTGGTGACCACCAGGTGGCAATCACGACACAGAAACACACACCCCCTCCCCAACGGGACCTCCAGGGACTGTCATAGAACCATGGAATGGTTTGGGTTGGAAAGGATCTTCGAGATCATCCAGTTCCAACCCCCTGCCATGGGCAGCGCCACCTCCCACCAGCCCAGGTTGCTCAAAGCCTCATCCAGCCTGGCCTTGAACACCTCCAGGGATGGGGCATCCACAGCTTCTCTGGGCACCCTGTTCCAGTGTCTCACCACCTTCACAGTAAAGAATTTCTTCCTAATATCTCATCTAAATCTGCCCTCTTCCAGTTTAAATCCATTACCCCTCATCCTATCACTACCTGCCCTTGTATCAAGTCCCTCCCCATCTCTCCTGTAGCCCCCTTCAGGTACTGGAAGGCTGCTATAAAGTCTCCCTGGAGCCTTCTCTTCACTAGGCTGAACAACCCCAACTCTCTCAGCCTGTCCTCTTATGGGAGGTGCTTCAAGCCCATCTTTGTGGTTCTCCTCTGGACTCGCTCCAACAGCTCCATGTCTTTCCTGTGCTGAGGACACCAGAGGTAGACACAGTACTACAGGTGGGGTCTCATGAGAGCAAAGCAGAGGGGGAGTATCACCTCCCTCGACCTGCTGGTTATACTTCTTTTGATGCAGCCCAGGATCCGGTTTGCCTTCTGGGCCACAAGAATGTGATCTAAAACCATAAAGCAATCTAGAACCAACAAGTGAGCTAAAACATAGTCTAGAACCACCACTTGGGCTAGGACCTGCCCTGGAACCAAGAAACAGTCCTGAACTTGTTGATGTGAGCTAAACCATTATTCCTCTCTGGAACCAGCAAGTGACCTGGAACCTGAATCAGAACGGACAAGCTGTGACAAGAAGTGATCTAGAACCAGCAAGCAACCTAGCACGTTGTCTAGAACAATAAAGCAAAGCTGGAACCTAGTCTAGAACCCAAAAGTGATCTAGAACCTAGTCTAGAGCCATAAAGCCCTCGAGAACCTGATCTAGAACCATAAAACATGCTAGAACTTTTAGTCTAGAACCACGTCCCTGCCAAACCCCCAACTCCACACACTGCCGGCTCCTCTTCAGTTCCTCATCTACCGACACCCCCAAGTCCTTCTCCTGGGGGCTGCTCTCAAGCCATTCTCTGCCCAGCCTGTATTGGTGCTTGGGCTTGCCTCGACCCACAGGCAGGACCTTGCATTTGGCTATGCCACACCCTTCTCAGCGAACATCCTCTGCATGCGAGATCCAAGCTCCAAGATTAAACTTCCTGTTTTCTGAAGTGAATACTTTTCATTTAAGGATTAAGTCAGGTTACCCCTGCACAGGCGACCACCTGGGTGGCCAGTGCCACTGCCAAACTCTTGGCCAGGGCATCCTACTGCTCCAGCCACACATGGTCACTGTGAAGACCAGAATATGCTGTGAACTGTGCTTGGAAACCCAGCACTGAACTTCCCAAGGGAAAAAGAAAGTTGAGGAAGGCGCATGACCAGCCTGGGGGAGTTCAGCTGCAGGATAAAAAGTACCTGGAAGCACCCGAGGCATCCAGGGAAAATGACTGCCAGCTATGGAGGGAGTTTCCCTTGACATACTTCCAGCAGACTTAGTGCAGAGTGATGACCTACAGGCTCTTTAGTCCAGACACCTTCAAATCCATGGTGGTGCTGCCAAAGGGGTCTCATGAAGTCTGTGGGCAGAATTAGGGGATGCACAAGAAAGTTCAGACAACCAAGCATGCCATGAGCTGCAGAGCACCTGCTCTTCTCTCCTTCAGGTGGGCCACGACTAGCAACACGGCTTAGAAACAAGCTTATAAACCAGCCCAAAAGCAAACGGGAATTTTTGGGACCTTCAAGAAGTTTCCTCATCTTTCAGAGTTTAAACAAGCATGTATTTATAGTTTAAAAAAAAAAAAAAGAAAGGGTCACCAAGGTTTTATGCTCCCATCTCCACAAGGTACTTAATGAAGTGCCCCAGAGGGATCGGCTCTGTATGAAGACAATCATGGACGTTGTCTTTCCTGACAACACCCTTTACATCTTGGAAGCTACCAAAACAGCCAGATGAGAATATACAATGTTGTCAGAAGCACAGATTAAAGACACACACGCATTAGCCAATGAAAAAAGCCATTACCCCATTCTCCGAAAGGGGGGTTGTTGATGACAAGAAGCCAAGCAGTACAATCACCCTCCAGTCTTTTCTCTGTTGGGAGTCAAAGAAGACAAAGAAAATCTCTGCCAATAAGAAACTTAGTCACAGTGAATTTCACAGCCCAGCCAGCCCCTAGTTAAGTGGGGCTCAAAGCGAGGCCACTTCAGTTCAAGCACCACAGTTCAGCTGGGAAATGCTGAGTGACCGAGCAGCTCGTGTGGCTTTCAAGGAGCACACGTGAAACTCGCTACTACTGAGCACACAAAGCAGCCGCAACTGATAACAAACAAACTCAGGGAAACGGGGACTTCAGTTTAGTTTACTTTTACTTCTAGGGCTGATAAGAGCTGTGCCAACATACTCTTAAAAAAAATAAAAATTATGCAACTTCTAAGCTCTACCTGGAGTTTGAGCTGAGGACTCCTCAAACCATGCTGCTGACGCTGTACATCAGCTGTGCTACCCCAACAGAACAGCTCTGCAAGGGGAAGAGAAAAGTTGGGCTTTATGCCCAACTCCCACTACCACACGTGCTCCAGATTACATCCAGATCCCCATCACTTGTAAAATTTGACCACAGCATTGCCGTAGGTCAGTTACTCACTCCAGATCACCAACTAAACCAGGACTACTCAGTTTTTCCCAAGATAACTGAATACATTTATCAATATCCACCATTTCTTATTGAGACCCACTCAATAGGGAGCAGTGTGGCCCCTCTGGGTGGGAGCTTGGCGCAGTGCAGCTGTTCCCAAGAAAAGAGTGAAAATGCTGAAAACTACAGGGTCTTCCTCATGGAGAGACAAAATGAACTTGCAATCTGGATCCGGACCAGCATAAGTCATTTGTGCAGCCCTGGCTTAAAATCTCCTCCCTCGTGGCAGTACCTGCCGGTTGAACTCTGGACAGCAACGGCTCTACAGTGCCTCCTGAAACGCACAGAGTGCAACACTTCTCATCTGCTTCAGGAGGGAATGAATTTTTCTCTTGATCTCTACTATCCTTCCTTGAAGCAATGCAAATGTAAAACCACAAAAATCTGTGACTTCTTTCTACCTCTTATCAGTAAAGGCTTGAAAACCAAAGACAAAGATCTTCCTCCTCTGGCAGAAGTGAAATGCCTGCACACTGTGTACCACTCTGACACAAAGAGAAGGGAGGCTGAAAGGCTGCCGGCACCCCACGGTGCTTGTGCTGGTCAGGCTAAGTACCTGCCTGCGTTCCCTCTAGACCGCAAGCTCTTCTGAGCAAGGACTGTATGCTCGTTAACGCTGTGATGTGCCAGCACGATGAAGGAAGCACCAAAAGAAACTTATGTAGCCATGAGATTAACTAGCAACGAGCTATCCTTAGCCTCATCGCAGTTTATCCACCAAACACCAGAGAGATACAAGAGAAGCATCTTGATTCCCGTCTCTATTGCATGCATCAAATTAGTGAAACCAAGAACAGTGACTAGAAATCTCAGTCATCCCTACTTCCACCGGCAGCCACGTACCCTGTTGCAAAGTTGCTGTCTTCTTTCCAGTCCACTATGCGACAGACGAAGAGCATGTTTGAATAGTCCTCTGGCCTGGTCACAAAGTCTGGAGGACAGTCAGCCAAGGACACGTAGGCCCTGGGCACTCTGTGGTCCACAGGTGAGAACATGGCGCACCTCCTGAAGAGTTCACTGCTCTTGTCTGCCAGAAGCTTGATGAAGCCTGTAGCTGCCCGGGAATGCTTCTTTTCCAAAATATAGACCACCTGGAAGAGGCAAAGGTTTCTACAGTGAATACCTTCAGATAAACTCATTTTCTTTAACAGAACAGGGACACACAGAGGCTTATCAGAATATCGGGAAAAGCACAGGTCTATATCATGCTTTCCCTGGGTGCATATATGTGTGAGTGCATTTTTTAACTGAGTACCTATTTACAATGTCTTTTCCTTGCCATCTTGCTCGTGGCTATAGAAGAGCTAAGTGTCTTCCAAGTGCTCGCTCTCTACAGCAATTTTCTTGATTACAGAACAAAACCAGACAAGAAGCAGATGCTTCCAAATGCAGGGAATTAGCCACAACATACAAGCAACTCCTGTAAAATCTTTCATTTGTATCCTCGGCCTGTGATTTCGACATTCAGCACAGAACAGGCCAGTCCAAAAGCGGTGCCGCTGGCGGATCCAATGCTAACCACAGGAAAGGATGTGCTGTGGGGAATTTGGCAGCTCTCTCCTCCTCTCTGTGCTTTCTGAAGTTAGGGGTTATTTTACCTTTATACAAGATGGCTTTGAAAAGAATAATAAATTACAATATCACTAAATAATTGTTCCAGAGAGGTGTTCATCCAGGCTATATTCTTGTAGACCATAATAAATCACTGGCTAACAGAAATATTATAGTCAATTTCCTAAGCTTACACAGAAGAGTCCTTCCAGAAGGTTTCAGGAGCTGCACCTCTGTGCAATTCCGAGCGCTGGAATTGCCACGCTGGATGAGACCAGAGGGCAGCCCAGCCCACAACAGGGACCAGTATCAGAAGCTGTAAGGGAAAGCACAAGACGTGGAAGAGACCTGACCCAGTAGCCCTTTCCTGGTCTCTGAACATTCCGAAATTGACTCAAATCTTGAACCAACAGCACTAACAGTCTTTCCAAAGTCTGTAAGAACTAATTCTGACAACTTTGGATATCCTGACACTCATATTAGTAGACAATCTTTTTTCTGAATCTTGCTAAGTAGTTTTGCGTAACAAACAAAGGGAATTTAAAGTAGGATAATTGGTAAAAACAACAAGGCACTTGATTTTTATCAGATCAGACAATTATTCTCTTTGAAATGGGGAATGAGATTCAAAGATCAACAGATGGAGACTCCAAGGAGGCCAGCACTGGTCTCCTTCAGCCTTTGGGAATGCACACGTGCTCGCTTGTCACCGTCCACGGAGTTACCTTGGCTGTCCTTTGAAGAAATGTATCTGGGAGGAGCCTGGGATCATTCACTTTGGGTCCATCATCTGGCTTTGTTCTGTGCACACCGCTGATCCCAACAGCCTTGACTGCATCAAAAAAACCCAAACACAACCGTTACCTTAGCACATCTCACTGAGTCATTTTGGGCTTTTGCTGTGAACTACAAGGTGCATGTAGCAGACTTATTTGAAAGGAAAAAGATCTCTTAAATGTTGGAACAGCCAAGCATGAAGCAGTTATTATTCCTCCAGACAACCAAAGAGCGGATGTATGTCCACTTACCATGCAGATCTGCTGAAAAACAACAAAACCCAAAATAAATCCAAACTTTGTAAGTACAACTGTACCAGTCATAATAAACAAAAGGGTGGGAAACACTTTCTGTTTACTAAATACTAATAAATACATTAATTTCCTGGCATTTCTTAGTTCGAGTCCTCAACATTACATAAATAGCCTGTTAGATACATGCATTCATTTAATATTTAATTACCTTTAAATAATGCTATGCAAGGTTATGAAATGCGTGTTTCTCTTTCAAACTGAAACCATACCTACTGTCTACATATCCACCCTAGCATTCTCTCTTCGGCTGTGGACCTGGATTATGAAAAAATCTTATGAAAGTAATCGCTACAGATTGAAATTTCCCCCTGAAACGTCTTCACCAGATACTGAGAACATTTAAATCAACTGTCAACTAATTTCTAGTTTGCAATTTTCAAATATTTATGTATCCGAGCTTGAAAGTATCCGCTATAGGTGGCTGGCACACCGAATGCATTTGGTGTTACAAACATCCAAAGGGATCTTTGCCATGGAGGAGGCCGGGACCGGTCCCTTCTTGAGCTGCACCCCTGCCGAGAGCCCGTGGTTACCGCTCTGACGTTTCTCAGATGGAAACGTCCACACACCCTTCTCTGGAGGGCTCATGGAGGATGGATGCCCTCTTCCACTTGTACAGCAATCGCACCCATCTCAAGCACAAGTGCTAAAATCAGGTCCTGACTCTTCAAAGAAACTTTGCTTTCTTCAAGAGAGATTGTGGCACTGACTGCAAGTTTCAAGGGACAGAGCTGTCACCGTTTCCCTTAGAAGACACGGGATAAAGCAACGTTTCACTGAGGACCCTGCCCCAGCAGGCCAACGGCGCTGACGCACGCCAGAAAGCCTCAAGGAGAACAGCGGTGACACACAGACCCTGGCCCCCAGATGACACCCATCTGTCCCGCAGGGACCCTCGACGGAGGCTGCTGGTGACATGACGGATGAAGGGGCCAGGCTGCGGGAGGGGATGCTGCAGCCCCTGGCGCTCGGGGGGAGCCGTGGTGACAGCGGGGGACAGGAGCTCGCCCCGAGGGGAACGGCTGTGCACCACCAGCACGAGGGCACGCTCACAGATGGTCCTGCTGCCATGGATGGCCTGGGTTGCCTTCGGGCAACGTTACCCCAGCAGTCGTTTGACAATGACGGCTATTGCTCTAATGACAAACTCCGGTTCTCATACGCTGCTAATTATCTCCAGCTCTGCCTTCTCATACAAAGCTCTTCAGACTTCGCCTCTCCCCAGAGATCACCTTTTCAGAAGAATCTAGCTGACTTTTATTTTATCTTTACTGACTTGCTAGCAAGGCCGAGAGAACAGACAGATATTCAGGGGGTTGAATACAAACCTACTTTCCTTTAAAAAGCAGCAGCAAACTCTTTCCTCTCTTCTACTGAAATGAACTCAGATGTGCCACAACTGGGGTTACTAAGGGATAAAACCACCCAGAATTTCAAAGTGACAACACGCTGAGGAAGAAAAATTGCTTGGATGATTATAAACAGTTTAAAAAGTGGGGATACCCAACTTACAGACCTCATTTGCTTGCCTTCTCTGAGCTCTCTGCCAGCTGAAGGTCATACCAAGCAATCAGTCAGTAAAGAATAAAAGCAAGGAGCTGTTTTGTTTTCTTAAAAATTTTCAAGCCATTGGTTAACAGTCATGGGTTTATGGTGTGCCAACCATAAAGACAGCTAGGACAAAGAACGGGATGATCCGGAACAAAGGGACGTTGGCAGGCGCAGAGGGCAAGGGGAGGTTGGGAGCTTTCCAAAGGCCAAGCCTCAGGCACACCTGCCACAAGCCCAGGGCTTGACTGGAGCAAACGCTCCCCCACTGCACGGCACATACTGGTTGGAAGAGAAACCATATCTAAACGTGTTTGGAAAAAAGCAAGAGCTGCACTCGCTGCTCTCCCAGCACAGCAGAATAACGGCACCGGCTCAAGGCACAACGGGCAAGAAAGAGGAAAGCACCAGGAGCCACGTGAGGAACATGCCCTTCTTTCCACTTCTCCTTCCAACTCCCATTTCTCCAAAAAGTTCCTCACATTTTTTTCATGGAAGCAGCTTTCCCTGTCAAAAAAGGAGCCAGCAGTGCTGTCCTCAGGAGGTATCACACCCACGCGTGCAGAAGCACCGAAGCACCAGGAGAGAGCCGCCACGGGGAGCACAGCAAACGGGGCAGCACGGCTTCCTTCGCCGGGGGGGAAGAACATGGGGGGCTGGGGGCAC